TTAACAGGGACTTGATGAAATTAACGTCTAAATGACCCCTCACTTGCTCTAGTGCTCTTGGGAGGTGGTGATCTTTGTGGTATTTAAATACTCCGAAATTACCATCTCTTTTAAGGGTCTGAGCAGGTGGTGGAGAGGGTTAAGGCGTACCTGTTATGCCAGTTGCTGGAAGGCCTCTGTGCTGGCTAGGGTTCGAGTCTCCTGGTGGGAAAGTGTTCTAAAGTTGTATACTTGACTCTCGTGTTTAGGAGAGTTGTGCCTTAAGCATAGACACTGTGTCTTCCCATATTAACAGGGACTTGATGAAATTAACGTCTAAATGACCCCTCACTTGCTCTAGTGCTCTTGGGAGGTGGTGATCTTTGTGGTATTTAAATACTCCGAAATTACCATCTCTTTTAAGGGTCTGAGCAGGTGGTGGAGAGGGTTAAGGCGTACCTGTTATGCCAGTTGCTGGAAGGCCTCTGTGCTGGCTAGGGTTCGAGTCTCCTGGTGGGAAAGTGTTCTAAAGTTGTATACTTGACTCTCGTGTTTAGGAGAGTTGTGCCTTAAGCATAGACACTGTGTCTTCCCATATTAACAGGGACTTGATGAAATTAACGTCTAAATGACCCCTCACTTGCTCTAGTGCTCTTGGGAGGTGGTGATCTTTGTGGTATTTAAATACTCCGAAATTACCATCTCTTTTAAGGGTCTGAGCAGGTGGTGGAGAGGGTTAAGGCGTACCTGTTATGCCAGTTGCTGGAAGGCCTCTGTGCTGGCTAGGGTTCGAGTCTCCTGGTGGGAAAGTGTTCTAAAGTTGTATACTTGACTCTCGTGTTTAGGGGAATTGTGCCTTATATATATATATATATATATATATATATATATATATATATATATATTGGTAGCAGTCTTTCCTGTAGACATATATTATTAAATATGACCGAAAAAGTAAGATTAACAATTCTAACACGAATTTTCTCCATCTTTCGTACATTACGCTTCACTGTTGGAGGTAAATAAAAAAAAAGATATAAGATATAAAATTGGAGATACGTAAGTTCTATTCAGTTGTGTATTTATGAACTAAAGTCTTTGAAAATGTAATAAGTTTTACGAAACGCGCCCGTGTCGCGTCAGACTAGAAATAAAAATGAATTTTGGAGAATTGATTTTTGATTTACCTCCAACAGTGAAGCGTAATGTACGAAAGATTGAGAAAATTCGTGTTAGAATTATTAATCTTACTTTTTCGGTCATATTTAATAATATATATATATATATATATATATATATATATATATATATATATATATATATATATATATGTCGTACCTAATAGCCAGAACGCACTTCTCAGCCTACTATGCAATGCCCGATTTGCCTAATAAGCCAAGTTTTCATGAATTAATTGTTTTTCGACTACCTAACCTACCTAACCTAACCTAACCTAACTTTTTAGGCTACCTAACCTAACCTAACCTATAAAGATAGGTTAGGTTAGGTTAGGTAGGGCTGGTTAGGTTCGGTCATATATCTACGTTAATTTTAACTCCAATAAAAAAAAATTGACCTCATACATAATGAAATGGGTAGCTTTATCATTTCATAAGAAAAAAGTTAGAGAAAATATATTAATTCAGGAAAACTTGGCTTATTAGGCAAATCGGGCCTTGCATAGTAGGCCGAGTACGACGTTCTGGCTACTAGGTACGACATATATATATATATATATATATATATATATATATATATATATATATATATATGTCGTACCTAGTAGCCAGAATGCACTTTTCAGCCTACTATGCAAGGCCCGATTTGCCTAATAAGCCAAGATTTCATGAATTAATTGTTTTTAGACTACCTAACCTACCTAACCTAACCTGACCTAACTTTTTCGGCTACCTAACCTAACCTAACCTATAAAGATAGGTTAGGTTAGGTTAGGTAGGGTTGGTTAGGTTTGGTCATATATCTACGTTAATTTTAACTCCAATAAAAAAAAAATTACCTCATACATAATGAAATGGGTAGCTTTATCATTTCATACGAAAAAAATTAGACAAAATATATTAATTCAGGAAAACTTGGCTTATTAGGCAAATCGGGCCTTGCATAGTAGGCTGAAAAGTGCGTTCTGGCTACTAGGTACGACATATATATATATATATATATATATATATATATGTCGTACCTAGTAGCCAGAACGCACTTCTCGGCCTACTATGCAAGGCCAGATTTGCCTAATAAGCCAAGTTTTCATGAATTAATATATTTTCTCTAATTTTTTTCTTATGAAATGATAAAGCTACCCATTTCATTATGTATGAGGTCAATTTTTTTTTATTGGAGTTAAAATTAACGTAGATATATGACCGAACCTAACCAACCCTACCTAACCTAACCTAACCTATCTTTATAGGTTAGGTTAGGTTAGGTATCCGAAAAGGTTAGGTTAGGTTAGGTTAGGTAGGTTAGGTAGTCGAAAAAACATTAATTCATGAAAACTTGGCTTATTAGGCAAATCGGGCCTTGCATAGTAGGCCGAGAAGTGTGTTCTGGCTACTAGGTACGACATATATATATATATATATATATATATATATATATATATATATATATATATATATATATATATATATATATATATATATATATATATAATATATATATATATATATGTCGTACCTAGTAGCCAGAACTCACTTCTCAGCCTACTATTCAAGGCCCGATTTGCCTAATAAGCCAAGTTTTCCTGAATTAATATATTTACTATAATTTTTTTCTTATGAAATGATAAAGCAACCCTTTTCTCTATGTATGAGGTCAATTTTTTTTTATTGGAGTTAAAATTAACGTAGATATATGACCGAACCTAACCAACCCTACCTAACCTAACCTAACCTATATTTATAGGTAAGGTTAGGTTAGGTAGCCAAAAAAAGCTAGGTTAGGTTAGGTTAGGTAGGTTAGGTAGACGAAAAAACATTAATTCATGAAAACTTGGCTTATTAGGCAAATCGGGCCTTGAATAGTAGGCTGAGAAGTGCGTTCTGGCTATTAGGTACGACATATATATATATATATATATATATATATATATATATATATATATATATATATATATATATATATATATATATATATATATATATATATATATATATGTCGTACCTAGTAGCCAGAACTCACTTCTCAGCCTACTATGCAAGGCCCGATTTGCCTAATAAGCCAAGTTTTCATGAATTAAAATATTTTCTCTAATTTTTTTCTTATGAAATGATAAAGCTACCCATTTCATTATGTATGAGGTCAATTTTTTTTTAATGGACTTAAAATTAACGTAGATATATGACCGAACCTAACCAACCCTACCTAACCTAACCTAACCTATCTTTATAGGTTAGGTTCGGTTAGGTAGCAGAAAAAGTTAGGTTAGGTTAGGTTAGGTAGGTTAGGTAGTCGAAAAAATATTAATTCATGAAAACTTGGCTTATTAGGCAAATCGGGCCTTGCATAGTAGGCTGAGAAGTGCGTTCTGGCTACTAGGTACGACATATATATATATATATGTCGTACCTAGTAGCCAGAACGCACTTCTCTGCCTACTTTGCAAGGCCCGATTTGCCTAATAAGCCAAGTTTTCCTGAATTAATATATTTTCTCTAATTTTTTCGTTATGAAATGATAAAGATACCCATTTCATTATGTATGAGGTCATTTTTTTTTATTGGAGTTAAAATTAGCGTAGATATATGACCGAACCTAACCAACCCTATCTAACCTAACCTAACCTATCTTTATAGGTTAGGTTAGGTTAGGTAGCCGAAAAAGTTAGGTTAGGTTAGATTAGGTAGGTTAGGTAGTCTAAAAACCATTAATTCATGAAAACTTGGCTTATTAGGTAAATTGGGCCTTGCATAGTAGGCTGAGAAGTGCGTTCTGGCTACTAGGTACGACATATATATATATATATATATATATATATATATATATATATATATATATATATATATATATATATATATATATATGTCGTACCTAATAGCCAGAACGCACTTCTGAGCCTACTATGTAAGGCCCGATTTGCCTAATAAGCCAAGTTTTCATGAATTAATTGTTTTTCGACTACCTAACCTACCTAACCTAACCTAACCTAACTTTTTCTGCTACCTAACCTAACCTAACCTATAAAGATAGGTTAGGTTAGGTTAGGTAGGGTTGGTTAGGTTCGGTCATATATCTACGTTAATTTTAACTCCAATAACAAAAAATTGACCTCATACATAATGAAATGGGTAGCTTTATCATTTCATAAGAAAAAAATTAGAGAAAAAATATTAATTTAGGAAAACTTGGCTTATTAGGCAAATCGGGCCTTGCATAGTAGGCTCAGAAGTGCGTTCTGGCTATTAGGTACGACATATATATATATATATATATATATATATATATATATATATATATATATATATATATATATATATATATATATATATATATATGTCGTACCTAGTAGCCAGAACGCACTTCTCAGCCCACTATGCAAGGCCCGATTTGCCTAATAAGCCAAGTTTTCATGAATTGATGTTTTTTCGACTACCTAACCTACCTAACCTAACCTAACCTAACTTTTTCGGCTACCTAACCTAACCTAACCTATAAAGATAGGTTAGGTTAGGTTAGGTAGGGTTGGTTAGGTTCGGTCATTCGTTCTACGTTAATTTTAACTCCAATAAAAAAAAATTGACCTCATACATAATGAAATGGGTAGCTTTATCATTTCATAAGAAAAAAATTAGACAAAATAAATTAATTCAGGAAAACTTGGCTTATTACGCAAATCGAGCCTTGCATAGTAGGCTGAGAAGTGCGTTTTGGCTAGTAGGTACGACATATATATATATATATATATATATATATATATATATATATATATATATTTATATATATATATATATATATATATATATATAATATATATATATATATAATACATATAATTTTTCTAACAGGTTCGTGGTGATGTCCAGCTAAGTGACGTCAACAACTTGGAAGTTAAGCTGGTGTATGAAAATGGAGGTACTTGTGACTCGCAACTTATCTTGCAGCACAAGTATGATGGTGAGCAGTACGTGACGGGAGCCAGCCTGGCCCTGACACAAGCTCACGCTCCCTGGCAAGTTGAGGTGGTCACTAGTCTGGGCCAGCCTGGCAACCAGCAAGCTACACATATCAAGTTAGATCTTCAGTCTCCCTTGTTAGCAGAACCTTTCCAGCTGCATGTAGAGTCTGATACCTCTGAAAACCGCCTAAACTTTCAAATTCTGGCAGGTATGGTGGGAAAGTTGTCACTTACATTATCCATGAAGGAAGAGCTGGAGGCAAGCACGCGCAAGTTTCTTGCCAGTCTGGACTTGGATACTCCTTGGACTGACCCCCTGCACCTCAATGTGACAAATTCCTATAATGAAGACAGCTTCATTACTACTCTTGATTTCTGGTCGTTCTTGTACCCAATAAACTCAATAACAGCTGAATTAAAGGCTTCATATGCGGATCCCAATGATCTTAAGGCCCATTTATATTTTTCACATGATCAGATTCAAGTTGTGATGGATTTAATTCACAATATCACCAGCAACAGTTTCAATGATCACTTTCAACTTTCTGTCAATAGATTAAAAATTAACTTTGATTTTGACACCGAATGGGATGAAAATTTTGTTCCAGTAACAGCAACGGGACAGTTTTCCGTGGATAACATTTTTGATCACAAACTGGAATTAACGTTTTCGCACATTAAAGAACATAATATGTTCAGTACTCAACTCATTGGACTTTGGGATAGCCAGATGTTTAAATTAGATTATAAACTTAATAGGAATGAGCCTTTATCATCGCTGAACAGGTCACAACCGACGCCTCAGGAACCAGACCATATTACCCAAACTGTTAACTCTAATTTTCACTTCATGTCTCCTTGGACCAAAAGCATCAAAGTTGATGTTACAATACAAATGGTGGATTCTGTACAAAATACTGCAATTGACGTATTACTTGATGAAGCTTCAGTTATGAGGCTCAAAGTCCAGACACAAGATCCCATCAGATGGTACCAGTCTGACGTCGTGCTGGAGGCCACGTCCTCCCTCTTTGACCAAATTGACATCAAGTGGAAGCACAGTCTGGAGTCGAAAAACTTTGTGCTCTTAGAAATCAGTCGTGGTGCCATGTTCCCGTCAAGTGACAATATATTCTACTTCAGAGGTACAAGTACTTTAATGTACAAGCAGGGATGGCTAAAGCAGGATTTTGAACAGCTAGAGATCAGCGCTACACTTCACCATGCAAGCTCACAAGTTAATTTTGATTCTAAACTAAGCATTGACTCTCAGTTCAGAGGGAACTTTCAAGTGAAATGGAATGAATATATATTTTTAATAACATCATCTGTATTCGAAGGCTTGATTTTCAAAGGCAAAGTTGGTGCTTCAGAGTTAGTCTATGGACTGGAAGTGAAATACGAGAAGGGAAACAGCACCATCCCAGATCTTTACTTTAAGTTGACAAAACATAAAGACGACATTCTAATCTTGGCAAGTAAATTTGATTCAGTCTATCCCAAATTTGATGCCTTGTTGACTGTAAGGGTGTTAGCGGAGACGAGCGGCACGGTCCAGAATGGTCAGCTGAGGCTCACAGCCGATCTCACAGATATCGAGAATTATATTTTCAGTGGCGCTTTTAAACTGGATTCTGATTTTAAAGGGTTTGAAAAATACTGGGCTGAACTAGATATTGGAATGAATGCCACGAATGAGTTTATTGGAGCTCACCTTCATGGACTTGTGCATATTGGTCATTGGCATTACAAAACTATATTAAATGGCTCACTTGATTTTCATCCTTCTTTCATTGTAAAATATTTAAATCAATATGACCTTATTTACAAAGAAAAATTGATAGACACAAAAGACATTAGTCTGTTGTTGAATATTTCACACAAAATCTACCAGGGCAAACTTTCAGTTAATTTTGGGCTTCATAAACCTCATTACTCTTTGTTCATCCTCTATAATGATGTGGACAAGCTTTTCAATAGTTACATTGTTCCTGGTGAATCTAAAAAATATGAGATGTCAATTCAGGTCTTCAATAATAAAGTTTCTATAAATGTTCAGATTACTGATGGCGACGGATATAGATTCCAAGTTCTTCAGGGAAACATAAATTGGAATATAAAAAGAAAAAAGAAGCAGTTTAGCATTAATATCAATTCAGATTTTGATGCAGTCAGGAAAATAATTGGCCAAGTTATCTTGCTGCAAAGGAAAGACTTGGCAGCAAACGCCAAGTTAAGGGTTAACGACGAGAACTTTGTCGGCAGCTTAAGATATGTGTCTCAAGAACCACACAATACCGGCCAAATAATAGTGAAAGTTGATAATCATATTTATATTCCCGTGAAAACTGATGCTAAAATAAATTTTTCTTTCACTCAAGATCAATATCAATCTGATTTGGTGGTTGATCTAAATGATGAAAAAGAATGGTTTAGAGCCGATGTGAAAGCAAGTTTATCCGAATCACATATACAGCTTCAAGTTCCCTATAAAGGGTTAGAAAATATAGACGTCTCCATGAATATTAACGCAGAAGATAAATGGGGAGTTAAAATCGCATTACAAGTTCCAAAGTTTTGTGCCAAGTTTGAAGGTATGCTTGATAAGTCTTTAACAAAGTCATCAATAAGCTTAAACGTTCAAGCAGACTGCACAGAAACAATATTTGACTTCAATTTCAGCTATAACCTTAAAGAAGATTCCTTTAATGCATTACGTGACTATTACGCTGAAACTTATGGCTTAATGTATAACTACAACGTTTCAAGTGCAGACTTCCCATACTCATTCCTGTTGACGTCAAGCATAAAAATAGAAGGACATCTTTATCCGGATCATTCGTTGGGTGTGGAATTTTCAACGGATTTCGAAATAGAGAAATATACTCTGTTTATTCGAGCATATGAAGTAAATTATAATGTAACACATTTCTTGTACAAGCATTCCTTCTCGGAACATAGCAAAGAAGTGTTCCTTGAAGTCAATCAAAACAAATTATTTTCACTTGAAGTCAAATATGATTTAAATAAAACTCCGACAGAAGTCACTTACTTCCATTCGTTGTTTGGGTCACCATTAAACATAAAATTATCATTACAAACTAACGTAACTCATGGAAACGTGGAGTTTCTTCTGACAACAAACGCACCATTTGATCACGCTGAGCTCTTAGCAACCTATGATCTCAGGGACAAAAACGAAGCTTCTCTTAAAGTAAGAACAACGCTGGGCGACGCTGACGGCAGGGCGGCGTTCCACAAGACGAACAGTTCCTTCTCTATAACAGTTGACTTAATCTCCAGCCTCCACTCGTCCCATGAATACTACATCAAACTGGACCATGAACACGAAGGTGATAATCACAAAATTAAACTTATCAGTGTGCAAGATGACATTGAGTTTCAGCTCAAGGGCTTCTCGCATAGGGAAGATGGCAGGTCTGTTCTCACGTTGAATCTCTTAACACCATTCAAGGAATATGAGAGTTTGGACATTGGTATCGGTTATCCTGAGTCAGACACCCAGGAAACTTCCTATGAAGCTCATATCCATGCAGTTTCTTTAGGACATTTGTATGGGATTGATATTAACCATGATCATGAACCCTGGACACGTCAAAAGACGGAAATCGTGTTGTTATCCCCTTCAGATATGTTTGGTAATATCTCAGCCTCATTGATGTACGAGTTTGGAAGTCTCGCTGTTGCAGCGGCTCAACTTAATACCTCTCAAGGAAGTCTGGGAATAGACGGCACATTTGTAGTCCTAGACAGAAACGCAAGCCTCATTCTGAACTGTGACATGACACTGTTGGATTTCGGTCAATATTTCTTGAAGGCAATCATGCCTTTTGACCTCTTCCATGATGGTGAGATCCGTCTTGAGCGCCGTCATACAGATTGTAATTTTATTGGTCACTTCTCCACTGGTCGTGCCTTGACACGTGCAAACTTCAGCCTCATTTTAACCACTGAAGAACCTGTGCTGAAGAACACCTCTTATGTGCTCGGTTATATCCTTGACACTTCCCTAGAGATAAATTGTCAATTTAAAACTTGGAAAGTAAATGCAGTTTTTGAGCTTGTAAAAGATAAAGCAGGAGAGTTGTCAGGAAGTTTTATGATTAAGACGAACATTCCCGACTATGAAGAGGTGGATGGAACTTGGGGCGTTGGCCACACAGCTCCCGCTTACTTTGCACAGATCAATATAAATATACAGCAAATGGGAACTATAACATTCAGCTCTACAGTTGATATCCAGCCGAATGGTGCCAGGAAAGTATTGGAAAGTATGAAAGTAAATATTGTTTTTGGATCCCCCTACACACTGACTCATCATCTACAGGCAGAATACAATACAGGCGTATTCAGCATTGATGCCTCGTATAAATATGGTCTTGATATCTTCCATATTAAATTAAATTCAAAACTTAAACGTAAAATTGGTACATTCTCATTAACTGGGAATATTCCAGTACAAGGAATTTCTACATTTAACATTGACTTCAATTACAAATTGAAAGAAGCCTTTGAGATTAATGTGAGTGGAGCGGTTGAAGAGGCATCCTTACAGGCCGGCCTTCAGGTAGGCCCAGACGGAGCAGTGGGGTCAGCGACGGCCTCTGTAGCATCACCGTTTATTGTGCCAGTAAACGCAGCGTTGAACTGGTCTTTCATTAAGAGTCCATTGCAGCTTGAGGCAAGCTGTGCTTGGGGCGAACACACTTCAGAACTGAAGGTGATCGCCAAGGACAACGTCAACTCTAAGCAGCTCGAGTTCCTGCTAACAACGCCATTCATCGAGTTTAACAAATTAGATATCAGAGCCCAGTATATTCTCTCCGAGTCTAACGAGCTTCGTATATCTTTTGACATTGGTGTGAATCACCATACCTTCAGTATGGAATCTACGTTCGTAGACAATATTACTGATAACAAGGTCGAAATTTCTGCACTTATGAATGCATTTGATAAGGAAGGATCTCTCAAAATAACATTTGGGACACGTGGTAACGTGTATGAAGGTAAAGTCTTCGCTACAGTTACTGGCTACGAGGCTTTCCACTTTACCATTAGTTTGGATACACAGCATATCCACTCGAGCGCCAAGTACGGCCAAATCGGTGTATTTAATGTCAATATGAACGTCTCCAGAATAATTCTTGAATTGTCTTGGGCTGAGCACAAGTTCAATGTGACCTCTGCTCTAGCGCCACGAGGTGATGGCTACCAGCTTGAGCTGAGTCTAACTAGCTCCGTAACAAAGCCAGTGACAGCAAATATTTCCTATTCCCAACATGATGGTCATATCAATTATATTGGTCACATAACTGTAGGGGAAACAGTCTACACAGTAAATGCTGCGGTTCAACTCATTATAGAGCAATCTTCGCTAGAGTTTCGCTTTGAATCCACTGATAATCCACGCACCCCAATTATTGTGAAGGCCATGTATGACTTAACAAATTTCTTAAATTATAGAATGAATAGTATGACCGATCTGGCCTCGGCTTCCTTTGAATGGGGAGATGTACTAACAGTCGCCGTTAAAGGCATGACCAGTAACAATCGTGTTAAGATCAATATCGAAATATCTACACCATTTAAATCCCTGCCTCAACTCCTCATTGGCTACGATGGGGAATTCTCGTACGAGAAATCAGCTGTTGACTTTACATTCACAGTCTTTGTTGACTGGAGTAAGCGGATCACTCTCACTGGCTTCTTCAAGTTGAAGAACGAACAGCTTGACCTTCACGGTGCCTTGACCACACCTTTTACAGCAATAGAGCGGCTCTCTGTTTCCTTAAAGTTTAATCCAAGTCACATTAAGTTGTCCTTGGTTCACAATAACGATGAATGGAGCATACTGGGCGACTATCAACTTTCTCCAACATTTGCTTTGACACTAACTGGAAAAACACCAATTTCTGGCTATGAAGAAATTGTCTTTGAGTCTTCTGCTGGCTTCAAAAATGGTTTATACATAATTAAAGCAAATCTATCCTGGCAAAAAAACAGCTCAGTAAGAATTCATGTTCAAGCAGAAATGTGGAATTTAGAAATACAAGTGTATACTCCATGGGAATTTTTGAAGGAAGTTATATTCAAGACTTCTCTGAGAACAGAAAGTGAAGAGTTAATGTATAGCGCTGCTCTAGAGTGGGATTCAATAAATGCATCATTAACACTCATTTACTCTCCAGTGCAGTTCAAGTTGCTTGGTAGATACGAGGAGAACAACTTGGAAGTTGTGCTCGCCAGGCTCGACTATATATATGATGGACAGGAATTAAAATCTGAAATTGAATTACAAACTCCTCTTAAATCTTTTACGTCACTGGACGCTGCTCTCGATCTGGGATTAGAAGGGCACCAGTTCAGAAGTAAAGTCATCAGTAATGGTAAGACCACTGTAATAGAGGGAATATTGTCTGTCACAGGTGGGAAGTTTACCGTGGATATTCCTGCTTTAGGAGACTTTATATGGAGAATGGAAGCCTCCAACATTTGGATGAAAATGGACACACAAGTATCCTTAGTCTACCCACCGTCAATTCCTCCACTAACCATTAACCTCAACTATCAGATTAATCCAAATAGTGGACAAGGGAAACTGCACATAAGGTTTGAAAGTTTAGACCAATGGCTAGAGTCGCTAAACTTCACTATTTCTGCTGATCATGTTCAAGCTTTTACATTCATTGAGGCTTCATCAGCTCTGTTTTTGAAGTTCAAAAGTCAAGAATTATTACAATATAATGTTAATATGAGCAGTAGTACCAAGAATGGTCAGGCATCTTTGGCTGTTGTTTATAAGGATAAGTTTACCAACATCCCGTATCAAATGTCGTTCAAAATTTCATTACTGAACATGTTCTTAGAAGAAGGAATTGTAGAATTTATTTTATCGAAAGGAGCGGAGCAAATATACAAGTTGTCATACGAAACAACATTTCCAGTTGAGGGATCATCTACTCGACAAGTAGCATGGAAGTCACCTGACTGGGCTGCTGATATCCGGATTACAATTACTGGAACATCCAATAGAATTTCCTTCTCTTATCCAGACCCATCAATGAGACACACACTGCTTTTGACTTGGCCTGAAGATTTTAATTTGGAGAAGTTTACGGTTGGAGGTGAAATTAATTCGCCATATATAGAAAAGATCACCTTTAACGTGAATTTTATGGTTCAACAAAAGTTTTCATTTTCACTGGACTCTAGAATATCTTACGGCTTGAAGGATATTTACGTGACGGGAATATTGCAGTACACGAGGAAGCTGCATCAGGCCAAGTGCGAGGTTCAGGTGACATCAGACTGGCTGGGTGCGCACTCCTTAAAGACCAACTTCCATTGGCTCCATAACATTACCGGGAGCCTTAAGCTAGACAGCGGGGATGAGAAGCACATCGTGAAGCTGCACGTGAACCTCAGTGACCGCACTCTACAGCTTACTGCTAATTCTCCTTGGCTTCCCTACCAAAATATACTCGTAACAGGAACATTTGACTATGTTCAAAATGAATCCTTAAGCATTAGATTCGAGGGTGAGATGACAGGAGGCGCAGGAGGAGGTAAAGTTGCCGCCAAGGCTGAGCTTGGGAGTGGGGCCTCCAACACCACCTTGCTCGCATCTCTCACACAAGACGGAGAAGAGCTTCTCAAAATATCTCTGATGACCAAGTTTGATGAGGAAAATATTAAGATAGTAATGACAGTAGATAGTGTTATTCCAGAGTTATCTACTATTTTCTCATTTGAGTTTTCCGACCGATACAGCTCAAGGGTTTTAAGTATAACGGTGTATAACAAATATCTTTTAAAACATACAGATTTATTTATAGAAATCAGTAAATATTGGAGAAGCAGACATACAATTACGCTTTATTATGACAACTTACAATTTGCTCTTTATTCTTACTTGGGTACTGAAGACAAAAATTTCAATATCGAATTAAAAAGTGACTGTTTTAAGATAAGAATAAGTAGTACACTAGAACACATAAACTATAAATATTTTTCCTGGAAGTTGAAAACATCTTTTGAAGCTTTACAAGAGGTTAATATAAGAATAGTGTGGACAGATATCATTGAAGACATTGCTGTGTACATTAGAATGAAGAACGATAAGGAAATCATCTTTAAGGTTCATTCTTCCCCAGATTCAGTAATGGGTAGAAGTGTCTCTGTCTCTCTGACAACACCGTTTAAGGGTTACGAGAAGATTGTTCTGGTGACTCCTCAGTTTGATCCCATGAACAATAATATCTTCAGCGTGCTGCTGGAATACCCAGGAGGAAAAGTGGGTATTATTATCAGGATGGAGCTTAATGCTCGTTACCCAGTTATACAATTCAGTATTTACCTCCCATTTGAAAAATATGAAATATTGTCCTTTCATATGGAGACAACGTCAATGATGTCTATATTTGAACTGCGAGTTGGCAAAGTAGGAATTACTTTATCAGCAGCAATTCCGTTGAATACAGATGCAGTTCAAGTAGAGTTTGTAGTAAGACTTAATGAAAATAGCATAAAGACTATTATACGAGGAATTGATCAGTTCCATAAAATTATAAGATTATCATTGCAAGTTGAATTTTATCCTAAAGATACTTTTGGTATTGACTTATTCTTGACAGAATTTGAATACAAACCATGTGAAAGAATTTATTTTGCGATGAGAACTGACAAAGAGGAGCTAATTAAGGCTCACGTAGGTTGGGGGTCAGACAAAGTCTTTGCAATCACCACTCCCAAACGATATCCAGGTTTCCTGATTCTTAACTTGGAGACAACCAAGGAGCTTAATGACTACGGTCTTCAATTCGGGTTTGCCCTCAGAAAAGATGGTTCTTGGGAAACTTACGGTTTCCATGCACGTCAAGAAATACTTGAAGCAGGCCGCCATTTATCACTCTCCGGGGAAGTTTCAGAAAGTCAGTTTCACGTTGAAGGAACTTTCTCTCTCAGTTCTCTGCACTGGAACGAGAGTTTAATATTTGAGTTAAACAGACGAAAAATTGGTTACAAAGTTGTGTTGGAGATGGATCCTGGGCTCCTCAGCAGCACATACGACGGTGATATCACTTTGTTTCTGCCTACTCGCAAGCTCCATTATAAAGCTAATGCCACTCATAGCTTTAGGGAGTTAGAAATGTTGTCATATTTCGCTTGGAATGAATATGAGACTGAAAAAGTACCATTCACCTTAAGGTTAAATTATGTTGACAATTCTTTGTTTGGACACACAAAGCATTATTTAAAGACGATCTTGAGTCATCCTGATATCAAGGACATCGTCTTCCAAGGTAATGTTACCCAGGCGCGAAATTCACCACTGTATGGCATGGCAGAACTGAGAGATGGAAATTCTGCTGAGCGAGATATTGAGTTGGTGCTTGAGGTACATCCGGCCTTAGACAACAACGAGCACAGTGTGTTAGTCAGCATCTCACAACCCGCCTCAGGGTTCCTCCTTAGCTTGAGTGCAAGAGTGGTGGAGTCAGTGCTCACTACAGCACACTACACACTCGGGTACTGGAGTCTATCTCAGGAAACGTGGCACAACTTGCAAATCTCAACTGATGTGAATACAAATGATAGTGGATATAATTTTGCAGCTAAAGTTTCAGCCCCTCAGAGTCAGTGGGGTTATAGCTACAAAGGCAGCATCCATTCACGGGATAATTTAGTCAAGCTCAAATTACAAGGAAACTCGGAACAATTTGAAGATTTTTGGAAGATTGGCACAGACATAAACAAGCATTTACCCGAGCTGCTTTTGTATTTAGATGTTGGGCAAAAATCTCAAGAAGAATATGAAGAAGGGAGAATTAGAATTGGCTTGCATAACCCACTAGAGCTTGGGGCTATACTAGACCACAAAAGATTTGGCAAGCGGAGCCAAGATTGTGCAATAGGTCTGAGGCTTTTAACGTCGGATATCCTCCAGTTCATCGTAGAATATGATCCGTCATTGGACTATAGTGATAGCAGTTTGTGGGCCCAGTTGACCTCACCTGCAGATAAAATGGTGAAGGCTTGGCAGCGTGATGCAACCTTCACCGCATCAGCCCTCAAACACTGGGTGTCAGCAGAGGCTCCAACTGTTGCTGACGTCCTGCTCAATAAGCAAACTCTGCAAGCAGTGTGGGAGAGTGAGAAGGAGAGCTTCGGAGACTTCGTGAGGGACTACCAGGCAGTTGTCTCCAGCATCAGTGAAGGCACCATGGTCATCTGGAGAGAGTTTCTGCACCCGGCGGTTCTCACTCTTCACCACCACGTTGGCAGCATGTGAGTACAAGTCATTTATTTCCCCCCTCACCTTGATATTAGTCATTTTATATAATAAAGTTTGACTGATATTAATAACAGCATTATTTTGTTATCATATTTCATAGATACAGGAGACAAACTAAATTTGTTTCAGTTTTTGGTTATCTCCTGCTGGAACGCATTCCACAAATTCGAAGATTTGCATCGATTGTGCTCTAATTCCCTCTTATTCCATTTACCTTATTAAATCTGTTTGTCTAACACCATTAGCGAGT